TTTATCAAAAGAGAAAAAAATAATAAAAGCAGAAGAAAAAAACAAAAGAAAAAAGTAACAAAAATTATTTTCTAAGTAGTAAGAGACACACCCAACACTTTAGAGGTCTGATTTAACATCATCACAAAGATCTTTTTGCATCCCACCAATTTAGTATACAATGTGCAATGGTAATTTGATTACAAGTGTCAGCAATTATAAATCCCAACTAATAGAAAGTGGTACTTTCAAAACCAAACCCTTTTGTGATTAGAGCTACAATATGGTTTTTCTGGCCGGCCGGTGCGGCTCAGTGATAAACAATGTTGTTCTGGTCCGGGCAGAGGCGTGAGGAGCGTGGCCAGGAGGGCGGGGTGCAGTTCCCGGCGATTAACTAATTAACAGTCCGATTAGCTAGTTACCAGTCAGGTTGCTCAATGTCGGATGATGGACGCCCCGCCCTTCCCCAGCCGGTGAAATCGGAGGGCCTAAGCCCCCGTGTTAGGGATCCAACAGGGGGCGCCAGTGAGAGGACCAACCTCGCGGAGGGTGAGATCCAGACCGTTCGGGGCGCCCCCTAGCGGGGTGCGAGACCCTCCCGTCCGCTCCGGGCTCCCGGCCGGTGGGGACAGAGCCCCGCGCCCGCCCGCCCGCCCGCCGCTGAGTCATCGCCCGGCCGCCCGCCGGGCCCGGTCACGCGCTCCGCGGCTCCGGACGGAAATAGACGCGGCGGCGGCGGCGGGCAGGTAGGTGGCCGCTGTGGGGCGTCCGGGGCGGGCGGCTGCTCCGGAAACCGGGGGTGCGGGGCCGGGGGCACCTGCGGGCGGGGGGCCGGGGGAGCGGGGCGGGGGCCCGGGGTGCGGGGCGGGGGCCCGGGGTGCGGGGCGGGGGGTGCGGGGCGGGGGGTGCGGGGCCGGGGGCACCTGCGGGCGGGGCCGCTCTTTCACCGCCAGCGGTGCCCCGACGGGACTGGTGATCGCCGAGGACACAGGGGGCGGGGGCTGCGCGGGAACCGCCTGTGGGGGACGGGAACTGCGGGGGCATGAGGGAGGGGGTTGGGGGTTAGGGAGGGGGTGTAAGGAGGAGGGTTGGGGGTGAGGGAGGGGGTGTAGGGAGGAGGGTGAGGGAGGGGGTGTAGGGAGGAGGGTGAGGGAGGGGGTTGGGGGTGAGGGAGGGGGTGTAAGGAGGAGGGTTGGGGGTGAGGGAGGGGGTGTAGGGAGGAGGGTGAGGGAGGGGGTGTAGGGAGGAGGGTGAGGGAGGGGGTTGGGGGTGAGGGAGGGGGTGTAGGGAGGAGGGTGAGGGAGGGGGTTGGGGGTTAGGGAGGGGGTGTAAGGAGGAGGGTTGGGGGTGAGGGAGGGGGTGTAGGGAGGAGGGTGAGGGAGGGGGTGTAGGGAGGAGGGTGAGGGAGGGGGGTTGGGGGTGTTAGGGGGGGTGTAGGGAGGAGGGTGAGGGAGTGAGGGGGGTTAGGAAGGGGGGTAAGGAGGAGGGTGAGAAAGGGGAGTGAGGGGGGTTAGAGAGGGGGTGAGGGAGGGTTAGGGGGGAGAGGAGCCCCCCACTCCTGCTCCTGGTGGGGGAACCCGGCACTGCACCCTCAGCCTGCAGCCCAGCTCAAACCTCTGGGTCCTGAGCGCTGTCCAGGGAGAGGCTGCTCCGTCCGTGGGTCTCCTGGCCGGCCGGGTGGCTCAGTGGTTGAGCCTCAGGGGTATCAGATGTGACTGTTTCAGCTCCGGGTGCTCAGGGGTGGAGCAGCGACCTGTGAACCAGGAGGTCACAGCATGGGCCTGGGTTTTGGGCTCCATCCCCAGTGTGGGGTGTGCCGGAGGCAGCCTGAGGCCTCTCCCTCTCCCTCTCCCTTCCTCTCTCTCTAAAAATCAATAAAAAACATTAAAAAAAATTAAAAAGAGTGACAGGCTCCCAGAGGAGAGCCACCTCGTAGGCAGCTCAGCTGGCTGCGGTCCTGCCAAACCCGTACCTGGGGCCGCTCCCCCAGCCCTGCCCGCCCTGGGCAGGCAGACCTCAGGCTCCTGCTCCTCTCATTTGCGTCTTTGTTGGCAGAATGTCAGTCTTGATTCTTTTTTAATAACGGACCCTTTCTGAGCCTGTCTTCAGCACCGGGCAGGATTGTGGTGATCCCAGCACCAGTCCTAGGAGTCACGCTGCTGTTCCACCCCGTGTCCGGGTGGGAACCCCGCGCTTCAGAGAGCTGTGACCGTCTCGGGGACGTGCAGCAGTGACAACTGGGAGGCAGGCCTCCGGCCCGTACCCCACTCGCTGTCCTCTTGCTCCCACCTGCAGCCATTGCTCATCCCCATCGCTAGCTTAGCAGATGACAAGAGGACGGGGTGCCCCAAGGCAATCCTGGTCATGTGACAGAACATGAGGTTTAACTTGGAGCTTGTTCTGTGACTATACTGCCCTCCCTTGACTATGAGCCCCTGTGCACCCACCCTTCCTATCGGAAACAACCTCACGTGAGGACAGAATGGAGTTAGTGCCACGGAAGGCCCTTGTCTGCCCTCCGGTCCCCCTGTGTCTGGTGTCCCAGAAATCCCCACTGGTCGCGGTCCTCCCCTCGTGCAGATACTGGAAGGCCTGGAGCCGGCCTGCCCAACGGGACGAGGTGCCTGGAGGCCACGAGGGTCAGGCCTCTCCCACCAGGTTGGCTCAGGGGACCTCCTAACATCATCTTTGCTCCCCTCCCACCTTCCCCCGGCCCCTCCTGACCTCACAGAGGAGCCCCAGGAAGGGCTCAGCGCCTGGACTGCGGGCTGTGTTTGGTCTCCTCCTAGACTCCCAGGTCCTTCCCACTCCGTTCTCTCAGAGGCTAACCCTGGCCCACCCGCACCCCCAGTCTAGTTCATCATCTTTAAAAATATTTTTTTTTATTGACTTTTATAGAGAGAAAGGGAGAGGGAGAGATAGAGACCCATGGGAGAGAGAGACATTGCTGTGAGAAAGAAATATTAAACAGCTGCCTCCTGCACCCCCCTCCCTCCCTTACTGGGGACCCAGCCTGAAACCTGGGCATGTGCCCTGACCGGGAATCAAACCAGTGCACTGGACGCTGCCCAACTGGCTGAGCCGCCCCAGCCAGGCCAGTTGTCGTTTGGCAGGAAAGGAGAGGACAAGGTGACCAGCAGCCCTCTCCAGCCTGGAGTCCTGGCGTACAGAGTGGAGAGCGTGCCCGGTGCCAGGCAACATGGCTCGCAGTCATGCCTCTGGCTTGGGGGCATGGGGGTTCAGTGAAGTGACTAACATTCCTGGGGTGTAGGGGTGTGGAAGGTATGTCCCTCCCCGGCTCCTGCAGGACCACCAGCCACTCTCCCACACACCCTGGGGGCCTCTCCTCTGGCTCCACAGCAGCGACGCCCCTGGGGTAGCTTCCACCTGCGGCTGTTAGAATGCATCCCTCTCAGCGCCCGCTCTCCCTCTGGATGGAGGACTCGGCCAGGCACTCGTCTTCCTGCATTAGTGAGTGCCCGTAAGTGCCCTCTAGGAAGGGTTCCCAGGAGTCGAGGGACAGAAACACGCCTGGTAAAGGGGCTCCATGCACAGGTGTGTGGGTGGCCTGGCTCTGAGCCCACTGGGCCTCCCAGGTGGCTGGTCCAGGCAGGGGGAGCTTGTGAACAGTCTGGGGGGGGGGCGCTGGGGGACAAGCTTGAGGAGAGCTGGATGAGTGGGAGGGGCTGGCCGGGGCCTGGCACATCACACCAGGGCTGACTGGGCGCTGTGAGGAGCTGGATCTCCCTCTCGTTCCAAAGGGAGTCTCTGGTGCAGCACGACCCACTTCTTGGAAAATGGCTGTCATGATACGGGACGAACGGACTGGACGCGCTGAGTGGAAAGTCGGGACCAGCTGTGGTTTCTGCACAACTGAGGCCAGATGTGACACTGTCTGGTGATGAGAATCGCATGCCCACTACGACTTAGGTGGTGAAAGGGACGTGTGCATGAGAGAGAGAGAGAGAGAGAGAGAGAGAGAGAGAGAGAGAGCGCGCATCCCCAAAGGGTGGACAGAGGAGGAAACAAAGCTTAACCACGCGGCCTCCAGGTAAACACGGAGGCACTCTGCAGACGGGAACTAAGCAGCCAGGGGTGGATCGGTTTTAAATGGGTAAGTTTAGAAGAAAGCACGTTTCTCTGAGATACGTGTGAGACCTGCAAGTGGACCCTTCCTAGAGGGCATTTACGGGCACTCACTAATGCAGGAAGTGTCAGAGGAAGCAGCAGGCTGTGTAGGTGCCAGATGGTACTGTAATAAGGCGCTTTTTGTAAACTGTCCTCAGCTTACTGTCCACCATGCTGTTTGTTGCTGCAGAACCAAGTCATCCCAACACCTGACAGCTTCCAACGGCAAACATGAATGGCTCACAGTTTCTGAGGGTCTGGAGTCAGAGGGGCTTAGCTGAGGGGTTCTGGCCCAGGGCGTCTTCTGAAGTTTCCATGTGTTTGTGTAAATCAGGAAATGGATTTAGCCAGATTTTGGTGCTGTAGGCAGGGGCAGTTTAAAACAATGTCTAGAAAGTTATTTTACAAAGATCAGGGAGATAACTGTAGCTTAGTGGAATGAATAGACATGCATTTTTATGTCCCAATAGATTTGATCCCGGGTTCAATTCTGGTCAAGGGCATGTGCCCAGATTGTAGGCTCAATCCCTAGTAGGGGGTGTGCAGGAGGCAGCCAATCAATGAGTTTCTCTCATTATTGATGTTTCTATCTCTCCATCTCCATTCCTCTCTGAAATCAATAAAATAAAAAAAATAAATATATATATAATTATATATATATATATTAAAATAATATATATTATTTTAAATAATAATATATATAATATATATATGGTTTTGTTGTTTTTTTAAAGAGCATGAGCACAGCAGAACATCCTTGAACTAACAAGGTATTTCGTCGTCACTTAAGACAACTGACTCATGCTTCTATTTGACATTCTACCTCCTCCCATGTGTGGTGAAGCTGACATACATTCATGTGTTTGTTAAGTAGGTAATTTCGTGCTCCCATCATGGGCCATAAAGTGTTCACGTTCGACATCTCCGCCGTCAGAGGCCTGTGGGAGACGCGCGTCAGGAAGCACAGAGCATGGCAGAAGCAGGAGGCCGAGCGGCTGGAGAGGAGCGCCCTGGAGAAGTAGGTTTCTGTGCCGGGGAGCCGCTTCGGAGCGCCGCAGACGGGGCTGTGCCTGGAGGGGCGGGGCGTCTCTCCTGGGCCCTCTCTCTGTCGGTGACCCCGCTTACTGACCTTCAGATCCTCACGCTGTGGCCCAGCATGGACATTCGGTTTCTGTAAAGCAGCACCCACAACTGTAGGGACCCCCGGCGCCGTGCGAGGCAGCCCAGGGCAGGCAGCGATGAGGCGGTCCGGTCCTCTGCAGCCGGTGCTGGGCCAGGGGCCGCCGGAACCTCCATCCTGGGTGAGCCAGGTGCCGGCGCTCTGTCAGCATGGCAGCCTCCCAGGAGCTGGGCCCCGGGCCGGCGCCTTGTGTGGTGCCAGTTTTATGCGATTGTTGAGGTGAGTTTGTAGGCTGACTGCTCTCAGGTAAACACATGTCAACGAAGACGAAACGGAGTGTCGTGGGAAAACTGTGGTAGACAGGCATCACACTGACAATCACATTGACGCTCCCCAGGACTGCGGAAAGTGTGGCAGCTGGGAAGGCTGCCCCCAGGTGCTGTGCGTTCCGTAACGGGCATCCCCTGTGGAGAGATCCAGCGGGCATTCCTGTGGATGCGTATGGGCGCATGCTGGTTCTGAGGGGCAGATGGGGTCTGAGGGGCAGGATGGGGTCTGAGGGCAGGATGGGGTCTGAGGGCAGATGGGGTCTGAGGGGCAGGATGGGGTCTGAGGGGCAGATGGGGTCTGAGGGGCAGATGGGATTCTGGTGGGCAAGATGGGGTCTGAGGGCAGGATGGGGTCTGAGGGGCAGATGGGGTCTGAGGGGCAAGATGGGGTCTGAGGGCAGGATGGGGTCTGAGGGGCAGATGGGGTCTGAGGGGCAGGATGGGGTCTGAGGGCAGGATGGGGTCTGAGGGGCAGATGGGGTCTGAGGGGCAGGATGGGGTCTGAGGGCAGGATGGGGTCTGAGGGGCACACCCACTCTACACCGAGTTGGCCAAGTGTATTATTTCTGGGCTTTGAGTTAAAACCAAAGCGCAGAGGTGTGGGTGTCTCTCTGTTCTTTGTTCTTCACTTTTTGAACTATTTGGATGGAACTAACACCCATTCTGATCATGCTTGATAAGCAAGCTGCTACTGTAAGCAGACGTGACTGTTTTGGGTGGTGGTTGTTACCCCAATTGGCAGACAAGGACGAGGGTCCTGAGTAACTTGGCCGAGCCATTCCCCTCCGTAATGCTGTGGCCACAGGCGTTGAAACCTCCTTTTACTTGTCCCTTGGCCTCTGGCCATGCAGAGTCTGTCTTTCCAGTGGCCCTCCTAGAAGCCTGATCCGCCCGCCACCACGTCCCTGAGGAGGGGCCAGGTGTGCGCGGCGACCTCTTTTGAGACAACGTCTGTGCCGGAGAGTTTTGAAGGAAAATTAAGTGAATTTTGATTTGTGCCTCATGGAATATTAGCTTGTTGTAGGATCTGAGTATTAAACCACTTAATGAGACAGGCCCACCACAGGGAAAATCCTTCTGAAGTCGGTGTTTCCTAAACTGGCGCTGCCTCTGTGTTTCTAGCCACGTGCTCTGGAACGACCAGCAAATCCCAGGGGCCTTGCGTTTTTAAACTTGCGTTGGCGCCGCCTCCTGCCCAAAGAGCAGGGCAGGCTGCTGCCACCTGCTGCCTCCTGCTACCAGCAGTCAGACGTGGAGGCAGCTCGGGGATTTTATCTGAATCCTCGGACTTATTAAAGCCGAAGTTGCTAGGAATTCACAGCCCTGGGGTTTTGTTTCCTCTGTGTCCCCACCCCTTCCGGTCAGGGGAGGGCTGCGCCAGGTGCCCTCTGCGGGCAGGGGAGGGCACTGCCCAGTGACGGCGCCTCCGCCTGCTTTAGGATAAAGGAGGAGTGGAACCTCGTGGCCGAGTGCCGCCGGAGGGGTGTCCCCCAGGCCGCCCACTGCAGGAATGGCTTCTTGGACACCAGTGAGCGGCTGCTGGACAAGCTCGAGAGGAAGTTGCTCGTGCGGCAGAGCTCGCCTTCCGGGGGCAGGGACGAAGGCAGCAGCAAGTTTGTGTTCGAGCTCTCGGGAGAGCACTGGACGGTGAGTCGAGGTGTTCCTGCCTCTGCGGCCAGTGGTGGCTCAGCCCAGTGCTGAGCCCCGATGGCCACCGCTAAGCTGAGCTCAAGGCCTTGACCTTGGCCGGTGAGCGTTCTTGCTTGAGAGGGTCTGCTCTGGCCCTGGCTGGTGTGGCTCGGTGGGTGGAGTGTTGGCCTGTGGACAGAAGGGTCTCTGGTTCTATTCCAGTCAAGGGCACACGCCTGGGTGGCGGGCTCGATCCCCAGTGTGGGGCATGCAGGAGGCAGCCGGTCAATGATTCTCTCTCGATGTTTCTCTCTCCCTCTCCCTTCCTCTCGGAAATTAATAAAAATATATATTTTTAAAAAGAAACCGAGAGGGCCGAAACCGGTTTGGCTCAATGGATAGAGCGTCGGCTTGGGGACTGAAAGGTCCCGGGTTCGATTCCGGTCAAGAGCATGTATCTTGGTTGCGGGCATATCCCCAATAGGGGGTGTGCAAGAGGCAGCTGATCGATGACTCTCTCATCGATGTTTCTAACTCTCTATCTCTCTCCCTTTCTCTCTGTACAAAATCAATAAAATATATTTAAAAAAAAAAAAAAAAAGGAAGAAAGAAACCGAGAGGGTCATCTTGGAGCCAGGTTCTCGAGGCTCCTCCTCCACGAAGGCTCAGGGGGTGGCTCCCGTGGACTCTGCGGAGCCTGGTCTCGAGTCCTGTCTCTGTCCGTCTTTCCCTCCTGCACACTCTTACAAACATTCAGAAACGCGGCCCAGCAAATAGTGCATGTTTATCAGTTATTTGAAAAGCAAGTAGAGAGGAAGGAAATGCAGGCCACATCGAACCGTCGGGTGCATGGACAGGCTGTATTTTACATGTTACATGCACATGTAAACCAGAAGGCACGCTGTGGCTGTGCTTGTTGGTGCTGGCCAGGCACCTGACTTGAATAATAAATATCACCAACTCACGGCAGCTCTGAGTTGGGCTCATCCCGTAAGGCGTGATGAGTGACCACACAGTGTGTCTGCTTTCTCCCTGAGCTGCAGTCACCGCTGACGCTCTCGCACGTGCCCTCTCGCGTCCGGCTTTTACAATGAGCACGCGTGTTCCTGGGCTTGGTGTGCGCTTGGCCACGTTGAGGACCTGGCGCCAACCACTCACCGACCTGTTCCAGGAGCTCCCCGACTCCCTGAAGGAGCAGACGCACCTGAAAGAGTGGCACATCAGCCACACCCGGATCGAAACCATCCCTGCCTACATCAAGCTCTTCCAAGCGATGAGGATTTTGGACCTGCCAAAAAACCAGCTCTCCCATCTTCCTGCTGAAATCGGTATGTCTCTCGGCAGAGCCGGGCCTCCGTGAGCAGGCAGCCGGTGGACGGGCACCGCGCCCGTGGGAACTGCTCCCCCTCCCTCCCCAGGAAGTCGCCAGGTGGGCGTGCTCATGTCCCCAGAGCTGCTCTGTCGCTGTCCCCTTTGGGCGGTGATGCCATGGTCTCACCGGCACATCCAGACCTTGGCCGGGTGCTCAGAATCCAGAAGTCTCACGAGTGAGCAGTGCTGTGTTTAGGGATTTTTCGTTTTCTTTCAGTCATTCCCCCCTTTTATCTGGTGACAGGCTGTTTGAAGAACCTGAAAGAACTCAACGTGAGTTTCAACCATCTGAAGAGCATTCCTCCAGAACTGGGACAGTGTGAAAATCTGAAGAAACTGGATTGCTCTGGAAATCTAGAATTAACTGAGCTGCCATTTGAAGTAAGGAAGTAGCCGTTTCTGCACTATGACTTATTTTTATTTGGCGTGTGGTATGGGAGGGTCTGTAATATGGGGAAGAAGCTTTGAGAAATGAAACCCATCTATATTATGTCACATTTTCCTGACATTTTATTCACCATCTACTGGCTATTATAAGGTCTTTACAATAGGCCAGGACGTGGTTTTTAGTTCAGAAATGCCATCATAGGAAAACTAGACAAAAAAAAAAAAAAAATCCTGTTTTTATGCAAGATATTTGTATTTAATGCCTATTTAATATATGATGCCTATTTTCTGTAATACAGACCTGATCTATTTATCCACAATGGCGAAATACATTAAAAACAGCTGGAAATAAATAAATAAATAAAGGGGGTATAATTTTAAAATTTCATATAACGAACACAGCTTGTAGGTAACTTAAGTAGTCCTACAGATAGCATTGAAGACGTCTGTGAATTGAAAAGTATTTATTAGTTTCCTTTGGTCTGTATTGACTGGATAAATGATTCCATGTCATTTCCGGATACAATGGAGCAGACGAAAATGAATGGGTTAATTGCCAAATAAAACTCAACAGGCCTCTTGTGGAAGAGATCAGGGTCTGATAGTCCTGCAGGCGATGAGCAGACTGAACACAGTATTGCTGGCAAGGTCCAGACAAGGCCTGGCTGCCGGTCACAGATCCGGGAGGGGTGTCAATCTCCTTTCCTGAAGCTTCTGTGTGGGAGGAGCTGGCTGCCGCTGTCCTCACCCATCGCGCCCAGCCAGTGCCTGACAGTGGTCCAGGGGAGGGAATGCTGCCAAGGCCATGCTCCCTGCACGGCGGTGGCCCCAGGCCTCCCCAGTTTGGAAAAGGGCTCAGCCCCCTCACACGCGTTCAGATTACCAGAAGCCAAGTCACCTCTGACCTTCCTTGCTTCCATGCCATCAGTCAGTCCTCTCAGGCAGGCCCTCTGCACCTGGCCACTGACCAGCCCCCTCCCTCAACACCCTCGTCCAAGTCCAGGTTGTCTGTCATCTGGACTGGGACACGGCCTCCCCGGCTGGTCTCTCTGTTTCTTGTTCTCACCCCCTGTTTATGGAGGTGTCATTTACGTACAGAAAATTCAGTCGTCATAAGCGAACATTTCACACACTTACCGCACAGGGGAGATGCGTGGCCACGATGGGTTTCCCCAGGTGAGGCTTATCCACTGCACTCCGGATGTGCTCACCCTGGGATTCCCCCAAACGTGGGAAACTCGACGGCATTTTTGTGGTGTGGAGGCCTGTGTTTGCGCTTTACCCTGAAGATATATAGATAATAAACAAATAGATACACATGTTATCCACTCAGTGTTAAAATATTCCCGTCACCCCCTGAGAATTCTGGTTGGCCCATTTACGACATAAAATGGCATAGCTTACCTAGGAAACCACCAGTTCCGCACAGCAGCCACTGTGAGCCACCTGTCCGCACCGGCGTGACGCCCCGTGGCCACACACGCTGTTTGCCCTCTTTCGCATATGGCACAGGAGTGCCTCTGGGAAGGGACCCCAGTTGGAAAGTTATTAGTGGAACTTAACTCTCTCTCTTACAGAAGTAATTAGAATATCTTGTTGTTCCTTTCTAGTTAAGTAATTTGAAGCAAGTTACGTTTGTAGATATCTCAGCAAACAAGTTTTCCAGTGTCCCCATCTGTGTCCTGAGGATGTCCAATTTGCAGTGGTTGGATATCAGCAACAATAGCCTGAGTGACCTGCCACAAGATATAGACAGGTAGCTACTTGCCTTATGAAGGTGAGGTGTATGAACTAGTTACTAACACCTTAAACGCCATAACCTTCTAAACTTGCTTAGCACACGAGTGGTCTTTGACATCAGTTAATTCTCCAGAATTCATTGTTTCTAGGAAATGAGTTTGGTTCTTTATATAATAAGACAGTTTCTAGTCTACATCATACATGTACATGTATATATACAGGGATGGGCAAAAGCAGTTTTACAGTTGTGAGTATAGAAAACACAATTAATTATCGTATTGTTTTTCATATGAGCAACTGTAAACCTACTTTTGCCCACCTGTATATGTTCACTGGAACGGACCTTCCTTGTCTTAGTGAACTGTAATTTAATTCGGTTCCCAATAGAATGGCATCATTCACTTTTCTTTACTCCACAGAAGTAGAAAAGTAAAATTATTACATATGGAATGAAATATATCACTTTATGTTTAGGATATCAGTGAGGGTAATTTTTATTAGTTTCACGTATTGATTTATTAGACATAATCTTTCAAACAAAATTGGGATGCTTATTAAGGTTTTCAAATTATATCTTTGTAGCTATTTCATTCATAAAAATAAGAGTTTCACTGAATCCTATGTCATTCATTCATTCATTCATTCATTCATTCTGCCAATGTTATTCGTCGTCTATAGGACAGTTGGGCTTAAATTTGTGAATGAAACAAAACCTCTGGCCTTCTGAAATCTGCCGCCTACTTTAGGACGTAGCATAAGACGCCGAAAGTGGCCTCGTCTGAAGGCCATCTCTGATTTCTGTTTTCTGCTCCTGCCACCTCTGCTGTGCAGCGATGCTTCCTTGGGCTGTGAGAGACCAGGGGAACTGCCTTGGTTTGAGCTATGAGGGGATTTTGTGAAATATTTATGGGGGTCTATGAAGGTTATGCAAATGGAAGAAAGGACAAACGGAAGAGGGAGTCTCCAAGTTAGAATAAAACGGAAATCAAAGGAAAATGCATGGAGCATTGTTGGCTCATTTCCTTTCCTGCACAGATTTCTTCTTGTTGTAAAGTTAGAAAACACAATGAGAGAGGAGTAACTACTCTCCAGATCTACAAAAGGAAACATTGGCTAAAATTTGTTTATTTTCATAACCTCTTCCCCGTGCCCTGTTCACCCTTGGAATGAGGCAGACACTGGGAGGAATATATTTTTATTTTTAAAAAAAGTTTTCCGATGACGGTTTGCATTCAGCCCTTTTTGTATCAGTTCCGGGTGTACAGTAAAGCGGATAGACATCCACAGCGGAGGATACGCTGATTTCTTAGGCCCGTACTGCCTACTGCGCAGGGTGCTTATGCTGCCGCTATGTCTGTGTCTTCAATCGGCCATGAAGTCAGTAAAAACAACATAAACACAGATGGTGTCACCTGGCAGGGATTTGTTTAATTTCTAAAGTTAGTTTTTCTCATAAGGGTCACATATAAAAAGTAAAGTAATCGGTGATTTCCGCTGGGACTGATTGCTCGTTCACGCGCGTGTCCCTTGTTGGGAAGCGCAGTCCTGGGGCTGACCCCTTCTCCGTCTCGTAGGCTCAAGGAGCTGCAGACGTTCCTCCTGTATAAGAACAAGCTGACCTACCTTCCCTATGCCCTGCTCAACCTGAAGAAGCTCACCTTGTTGGCCGTCAGTGGGGACCATTTGGTGGAGCTCCCGACGGCTCTTTGCGACGCGTCCACACCTTTAAAGTGAGTAGACCTCGGCCAGTGGCGTGGCTCAGCGGTGGAGCATCGACCTGTGAACCAGGAGGCCGAGGTTTGATTCCCAGTCAGGGCATGTGCTGGGATTGCAAGCTTGATCCCCAATAGGGGGCGTGCAGGAGGCAGCTGACCAATGATTCTCTCATCGTTGATGTATCTGTCTTTAAAAGTAACTTTGACAGTGAGTAGATCAGAGATCCTCATGGAGACACGTTCAGTAGAGGCATGTTCAGACACAAGACCAGGAGCAAGGAGCATCTGGAACTTTAGGTCCTGTCTCAGATTCCAGTTCCCGGGAATTCTGGTGCTTCTTTACAGGGTCTGGAAGGTTTTGGACAGTAACAGGAGGATTTTGGACTCAGGGTCTCTGTACAATGCTGTGTGCTGGTGGGAGACACAGGGGGCAGATGCCTGGGATTCCATTGTCTAGGCACCCAGGTTGTTAATCTTTCCATGACGAGGAGCAGTTCTTGGAAAAGGAGAACGGACTGCATCCCTGTCTCTCCCACATCCCAGCTGTACAGCTCCCCGCTGATCAGAATGCGCCTTCTCTGACTAGAACAGAGCAGTCACGGTTAACAGAGCAAGATTAGTATTTCTGCCCCCAAAAAACAGTGACTGACCAACGAAGATTGCCTTTGGGTTCAGGGAGTAACAAAGGGGAGAGACTGCTGCTTTAAATAAAAAGTGCCATTTCCTTGTTCAAAATGTTACGTGTGATGACTTACTTAGATTAAAAAGTGGAGAATGATGAAATATAGGCAGATTGTTTTTGGGGTAGGGAAAGACAATAACAATTCAATGAAAGATTGCAAAGGGAAAATCGCGTGGATCTATATAAGAATTAAAACCTTTTTGCTTTCTCTATATTTAGACATTAAATACAATAAAAGGAAAACAAACTAGAAAAAACATATATGCTAAAATACGACAGGTATGTGTGAATAAGCCACATGTACATATCGCATGTAACCTTCTAAAGCCAATTAGGATGATTGTTAGGTTTGATCTTCGCTTCCCCCCAAAATAAAACTGGAAAAAAATACAAACATTTATGTATTTAATTCACTCATTAAATAATCTTTGTGTGTGTGTGTGTGTGTGTGTTAATCCTCACCTGAGGATATTTTTTCTTTTTAAAATTTATCATTGTTGTTGAAGATATTACAGTTGCCCCCTTTCCTCCCCCCGTTGACCCCCTCCCCAGGTCTTCCCCGGGCTGTGGGCTGTCCAAGGGCCATGCGTGTATGCATGTCAGTTCATTGATCAACCTCCCCACCTCTCCTGCTTCAGTGTCCTGGATCTTTTTTGTCAGTTTATTTTGTAGAAATACCTCTTTTATGGGAATTTTATCTGATTTCTTTTTAGTTAAGCCTGGTTTAAGAGTTGATGTACTTCCCTCTGGCAAGCACCGTACTGCTGTTTTTGTTCTTAAGTTTCAGTTTTATATCGCAGCAGAAGATTTGACTGGGTGGTGGGCACACTATGAAATATACAAATTTTGTAACATAGAAATCCACACATGAAACATATATGTTCCAGTTGACCAATGTCACCCCCATCCATTTAATAAATAAATAAATAAATAAATAAATAAATAAATATAAAGAGTTGCCATCACTAACTGGGAGTAATACCAAGCACAGGAAGGCATCACAAGTTGTAAGGATCCAACTGAGAGAAGCGTCACTGTCCATCTTTTTGGCTCCTGCCCATGGCCCCTCTGTCTGTGGCTGAGTAGCTCTCATCTCCCATCTGGCCTCTGGACAGTCTCTTCCTGATACTAATTCCGTATCCCTGATGGATTGTTCCACAGTGGAATCCACTCATGGTGATAATTCAACTGTGACTTTCTAGATGGTGATATGGTCAACTGTGACTTTCCAGAATAAGTGAGAACTTGTAATTTAGGACCACAGAGTCTGACTTCCCACGGAAGGGATTTCGCAGTTAAGAATGCACAAGGGAAAATGTGATATTGTCTGTGTTTTCTTGAATAGATTTGTAAACCTTATGGACAATCCCATTGATAATATTCAGCGTCAAGATGGTGAAAAAATGATGGAAAGTGAACAAGATCGTCAACACTTTGATAAAGAATTTATGAGAGCCTATATTGAAGATCTTAAAGAAAGAGGTAGGTTACTCATATTTAAAATATTTTAAATGAATATACAAAATTCCATTAACTCATGCAATACTTATATATACATGATTTATTGATAAAAGTAAAATTGACAGAAAGTTAATTGGTTAGGGGCAGTTTACTTCCTAAATTACCTTTCCATTTACCAAAAACAAAAGATATCTTTCCTTAAAATATTTGATTTGCCTAGTGCACTTGAGTGTTTGATACACCATCGACTATTTTACAGAGAAACACATACTTAATACGTGAGGGTTGCATTGCTAGTTGTATATGAGTTTTTAACTAAATGACATTGACAACAGTATCCTATTTAATGGGATAATAAGATTCTATTTTAAAACCCATTTAAATTCAACATTAGAAAAAGTCATCTCTTATATAAATCAGGGTATACCCATGTCAAAACCACAAAATGGAAAGCACAGAGGGCAGACGAGTAACTCACCATCCAGTCCGAGCTCACAGAAGAGTGTGGAGGTGCAGAAAGTCCAATTTCCAGAGTATTCCGTCACAAGAATGTTGATCAGAAAAAAGGCTCTAGTCCTGTTCTGGTCAGGTAATCACACACCAAAAGGAAACAGAATGGCTGAGTATGTATTTTCCTTTTGTTACAGAATCTGTTCCCAGCTATACCACCAAAGTGTCTTTTAGCCTTCAGCTCTGATGCCATCCATCAGAAGTCCTCAGAACCTCCCTGTCTGTGCAGCTTTGAATCTTCGTGCTGTGGGCCATGTCATCTGGGAGTGAGGGCTTGTGCTTAAGCAGCAAGCCTAAAATCCACGGTCATAACTTCGGGAAGATGACTTTCAAATTCCAAATGTATGAATATTTCTCTGTGGACTGGGGAATTGATCACTGGTTTTATAGATTTATATTTAAAGGCTCATTTGCATATACTTGTTTCCAAATAATGCACATTGAATAGTTTAGAAATGCATTATTGAAAAGAAAATTGTAGGTTAGTCCAATTCTGAAGGTGAGTTGTTTTCAGGCATCAGGGATAGAGAGTCAGTGAAAGAGCATTTCTATTGGATGAATCCAGATCAGAGTTTATTTTATTTTTTAATTTTGAAGGAGTTTTAATGCATTATTTCTTTTAATGAGAATAATTGTTCTTGGGTTTATACAAATTGCTATTCCCGTATGTTTTAAATTGCGAGTGTGGGTGTGGGGAAGCAGGGGACTTGTTGGAAGGTTTGTAAGGAGGAAATAGGTCAGAACCTCCAGGGGGAGCTGGCTGAAGGCCTCCCCCCATGCCTTGACTTTTCTGAACAAGTCTGAGCCCCCGTGTTTACTGGACTCTTTATGCTTAGTCTTTAGATGTCCGGACTTAAAGGACACAGTGTCTTCTCAAGGATGCTACCCTGCTGATAGTATCTAATAGTTAATTGTAGTTCAAGCTGTTGTTACAATAAAAGCCTGAGGAGGTAGGCAAACGGGGTTGGTTGGTTTCTCCAGCCAAGCAGCCCCTTAGCCCTCTCTTTCACAGCAATCGTATGTCAGAGTTAATGGAGGCCTGGAGCAGGAACTCATGCAGAGGTGGGGTCTCTCGGCCTGGCCAGTGATCAGGGCTGATGGGGGCTGCAGAGGTTGGCGGGGAAGCGGGGGAGGGGCTGCAGGAGGTTTGCTGTGGGAGCACACTGACCCCGCAGGGAGCAGCTCCTGTGGTGAGCATCTGCCCGCTGGTGGTCAGTGCGTGTCATAGCGACTGGTAGTTTGGTCCTTCAGTGGCTTGGTTACTTAGGCTTTTATATAGAAGAGTAGTGCATTTTATGTAATTCATGTTCTTTAATATCCCCACACAAATACATTATTGAATACGATGCTTGTAGAGTTATTATTTTGCCCCCCTGCCCCTGGCTGCCAGTTCCACACGTGTCTGCGCCTTGCACCCCCAGTTCCTTCCCATCTTTGGCCTCCAGTCCTGGGCTGCCCCGCCTGCTTTGGAAGCCCTGGCCCAGGGCAATGGCCAACCCAGGAGGGAGCCAGTCAGGTGGTCCCCGGAGGACGTGGCACCCGATTGGAAACGCGAGGTTAGCGGTGGAAAAGGCGCTTCAGTGAAGCTGTGCCGAGGAGGCCGCCCAGGCGTGGGCCATCCGGGGATGGGAAGGGCCGTTTCCCACTGCCGCTCCGCTGCCCGGTATGTGTGCACGGACAGCACAGGATGCCCACACAGCCCGCCCGGGCCTCAAGGACCTCCCGCCTCCGGCAGGCCGCCCGCCTGGCCCTCTGTCCGCAGCTGTTTCTGGTGATTCAAAACGGCGAATTCATCACCTGTTTCAAAGGTTCCGCTGTGCCCTCCTCTCCCTACTTCCTCTCCCTTCAGGGAAGGCTTCAGAAGGTCCGCTCCCCAGCCTGCCCCGGCAGGTCTTGGGCACCCTGAGCTCCGAGCCCCGCTGTCTGGTGAGGCCGGGGCAGCCCTCTGACTGCCGGCGCCGGGCGTGGCCCGGGGGTAACGGGCCTGGCATGGCAAGCCGCCCGTGCCCGTCGCCTCCCAGACCTGCAGGTCCCGGTCACCTCCCGTCGGAGCCCCAGCCGCAGCAGGCGCCCCCGCCTCCTTCCCCCTTCCCCGTCCTTCTCCCCGAGGCGCCCTGAGGACCAACCTGTGGTGTTCGCACACCTGCTGGCTGCAGGCCTCGTCCCCGTGCCTCTCCTACTGTGGGGCGGCGAGGCACTGGCTGTGCTCTTCGCCCAGGGGCACCTGCTGCCCCTGGCCACCCACGGGTGCCTGTACCCCCCCTCGCACCCGAACGCGCAGGGGCCGTAGGTCTGGTGCGCTGGGCCCTGGCCTTGGAGCTCATTGCCTGCTTCGCTGGGGCGTGTCCGCGGTGCCCTCACAGGTGCACTGCAGGGCCAGCGCCTCCTGCACCATTGACCGGCCTCACCGCCCCGCCCCGCCCCGTCCTGAGAGTCAGGCACGAGGCCGCGTCCCCCAGCGCTCCCCGTGCCCGCATCGCTGCGTAGGAGTCGCCTGGAGACAGAGAAACTATTTTTAAAAACACTACGTTTTTATTGATTTTAGAGAGAGATGAAGGAGGAGGGAGAGGGAGAGAAACATCAATGGAAAGGGAAACATCCATCAGCTGCCTCCTGCATGAACCCCAACTGGGGATGAAATCTGAAACCTGGGCATGTGCCCTGACGAATCCAACCGACGACCTTTTTTCACACAGGACCGCGGTCCACCAACGGAGCCACGCCGGCCACAGCAGTCCTACGGACGCGAACCTCTTTCCTGATTTACCCGTCTGACTATTTCTCATCCGCGGGCCGTACAACCTGTGACTTGGTGTGTCTGGCTTTTTAAACTTGGCACCATGCTTTTGAGGTTCATATAGTGGTTTTAACAACCACCACCACCACCACGACAATGATTAGGATCAGAATGATGGAACAGCAGCAAATTCCGAATTTGCAGCGCTTGCCATTCTGGGTGCTGTGGTGATCCAGACCCGCCCTTGGGGAAGAGACCTCAACTATGCTCTCTGCCCGGCAGCTGGTGTGTGCTCTGGGACTCTCATCCCGTGGGGGAGGGAACCTGGGGTGGTGCACTCCCCCTCCTTTCTTCACCCCTGTGTGCCCTGTGGCCACACCCACTGCGGTGCTGCTCCGCACTGTGCTCACTTCCCAGGGACTCTTCGCCTCAGGATAGCAGGGGTGGTGCACTACCCTGCCTTTCTTCACCGCGGTGTCCGCTGTCCCCGCGCCCACTGTGGTGCTGCTCCGGACTGTGCTCTCTGCCCGGTAGTTGGTGTTTGGTCTTGGATTCTGAGCCCGTGGAAGCTCAGGAAACCCGGGGTTGTGCACGCCCCCTCCTGTCTTCACCCCGGTGTCTGCTGTCACTATAGTGCTATTCCAGACTATTCTCTCTTCCCAGTAGTTGGTGTTTGGTCTTGGATTCTGAGCCCGTGGAAGCTCAGGGAACCCGGAGTTGTGCACGTCCCCTCCTGTCTTCACTCTGGTGTGCCCTGTCACTGCATCCACTGCGGTGCTGCTCCTTGTGAGAGAAGGTTTATCGATGGGAACTCCAGAGGCAGGTGTGCTACCTGTTCTTGTGGGAAGCGAAGGGGACATCGGTGATGGTTTGACTAGATCTAACTCACACTGAGCACAAAAGCCCTGGAGACACGCCTCACAATTGTCAGTGTCGTGTGGCCCCTTAAGAGAGATATCCTTGATTGTAGGGATATTCTGCATTGACTTAAATCCTTCTCCATAGCATTTCTTCAGAATTCGGAACACCAGGTTGTTCAGGATCCTTGAGACGTTCTCTTCCGTGAACTCTGGGACCTCAAATGGAGGCTCTGAGCACTTCTGACATCTCTGGGCAAAGATCCTCATCTTAACTTGGCCCGTGGACTCCCTCTTGTTCCAGTGCATGTGGCAAAGGACTTGAACGTGGGCAGAGGCCCAATTGCGAGAGCACCAGGAGCACGTGAACCTGTGGAGGCAGAAAATGAGACCCTCAGCTTGACTGACCACGGGCTGAGCCGGAGGGAAGCAGGAGGGACCGATGTTACCGAGACTGGGTGGACTGGGTCCCGGATCAGTGGGGATGACGTGACCGAGTCCATTGTTTCTATTGACAAGCTCTCGACTCACAGGTGTCTTATCACGACAGGGGGTCGCTCACACGCTCTCAGTGCTGAAGGGATCTCGGGCACCTTCTGCGTCCACGGGATCATGATTGGTAGGATGGTGCATCCTGGTGAAAGGCTAAGTGCCCCGTGCCAGAGGCCCCAGCGCTCCCGAGCTCTGCAGGCTGGTGAGGACAGCACAGGAAGTCTGCGACCCCAGGGAGGGCTGTCGTCTGACCAGCGGGGACCCTGGCCTTGGACTTGCAGCCTCCAGAACTGTGAGCCACATGTGTCTGTGGTTTATAAGCCGCCCATTCTGTATTTGTTGTTGTGGCGGCTGTTTTTTAATAGCGGACTAAGATCCTGAGTCCTAGAGCCCAGGTTAGGGCAGGAGGGACCCGGACAGTCCAGTGTCCCATGGAAAAGCATCGCTTTGCTCTCAGTTGCCCAGGGCCCCTCCCCCCGCCCCCGAATGTCATTATTACCGGAGTGTGGCATGTCTGCTCTCTTCATTGCCCCAAGCCATTGCTCCAAGTGATTCCTCCTGCCCTGGCCTCAGAGAGGGCACCAGAGAGTGCCCCTTTCTCTCAGCAGGGAAGAGGGCAATGTTCTGACCTAAAGTAGCTGCACAAATACACGTCAGCACAGATGGAGAGAGAAGAAGGCAGGGAAGCACGTGGCAGCACCAGGATACGAATTGCAGGTGAGCAGAGGGCTGGGCACCAAATTGTCCATGGACTCCCGCTCATGGCCCAGCCTGGCTGGGCAGTTAAGTCAGGGCCAGGTGACCAGTTGGCTGATGGGCTGTGGGCTGAAGCGATGAGCGCTGCCTCCAGATCTGGCACGAAAGCCCTCTACTTCCCAGCTCTTTCATTCTGTGCCATGGGAAGCTTGGGGCCATGTGTTAGGTTACTTGTCCCAACAGCCTTGCTGGGAGCACCTCGTCTGGACGGTGAACCAGAGGGTTCTGGGAGGGAGTCAATCAAGGTTTCCCCTTTGCATCTTTTTAAAATTTTTTATTTATGTTATTAATCCTCTCCTGACGATATTTTCTCAGAGATTTTTAGAAAGAATGGGAGGGGAAAGAGAGTGAGAGAGAAATATCGATATGAGAGCTAGACACATCTATTGGTTGTCTCCCTCATGTGCCCAACCAGGGCTGGGGTTGAGCCTGCAAGGGAGGCATGTACCCTTGACTGGAATCAAGCCTGGAATCCTTCAGTCCACAGGTTAATGCTCTATCCACTGAGCCAAAGGGACCAGGGCTTCCTTCTGTGTCTTTTTTTTTTTTTTTTTTTTTAATATATTTTTATTGATTTTTCACAGAGAGGAAGAGAGAGGGATAGAGAGCTAGAAACGTCGATGAGAGAATCATCGACCAGCTGCCTCTTGCACACCCCCTACTGGGGATGTGCCTGCAACCAAGGTACATGCCCTTGACCGGAATCGAACCCGGGACCTTTCAGTGCGCAGACCGACGCTCTACCACTGAGCCAAACCGGTGCCGGCCCTTCAGTGTCTTGATTGGAGCCTCAGCTCACCAGGTGAAGGTGAGGATGAAAGGCAGGAAGATACCTGGGAGCCCTGACCTCTGTGAGCAAGAATGACCTGCTGGAGCAAAGGGCCTGTGCCCTGCTCTTTGGAGCTACACTCCCTGCCCATTCTGGGTCACAGCTGCGTGTTGGTGTGCCAGCTCAGAGTTAAAAAAAAAAAAAAAAAAGGAGCTGAGACTTTGCTCAGCTGCTCCTGGTGCCAGCTCCCGCCCAGGGAAAACTGCCGGTTATGGGCAGGAGAGCTCAGTGGCCCCTTCCCAGACCTCCCAGGAAGGGGCCGTGGACAGGCAGCACGCCCCTTCCCCAGGCCCCGGAACCATCCTCCGTGCAGGTGGGCTCATCCTGGGTGCTGATGTCCCACCTGGAAACCAGAGGCTTAGCCTTCGGATGCCTCTAAGGGCCCTGTTTTTACAGAGAGCCCGGCAGCTCAGAGTAGAGAGATTAAGATGGCTGCATGTGGCTCTGCTCCTCCATGAGGGGGTCTCCTCAGTGCCCAGGGCCCCTCTTTTGTGGGCTCTGTGGTGGGTCCCTGGAGTTCCCCCTCCCCAGCCTTTGCATTTGCAGCAAGCCTTGCTATTCAACTCTCCTGGGCCTCACTGCTCTTGACTTACCTTCAAAGCCTGATTTCTCCATATCTGGGCATCACCCCACGCCAGTGCCCGCTGCCCTGCTACTGTTTGGGCTCACTGTAGTAAGAGAAAGATCGTCAATGAAGCTGCAATGTCGTGAGTGAGGGGCTCCTTCCTCTCTATAATCTTCAGTTTACGAGTACAAACAGGAACGGAATCAGAAAGGTAACCAGTATACAGAGTATGGAATGAGGAAGGCTCTTCTGGAACGCATCCCACCCATCCCCACTCACCTGGCAAAGACCTGCTGCTGGTATTGGGTCCACCCTGGTTGCAGGGTGTTGGGCGTGAGGCTGTTGTCTAGTGTCAGGGTCCATTGGTGCCATGGTCTCACCTCATGAATTAGTTCTTGAAATACTTTCTGCCACACCTGCACATCCTGCCCCTCGGCCGCTGGCATGGTGAGCCAGCACCGGCCTCTCCGGGGCTCTGACGGGCCTGTAGCCGAACGTGCGGTTCCGCTGCCGAGAGCACGGCTCACACCAGCTCCCTTTGTGGCCCGGCACGGGGCCGCGGACCTGCTCTTTGCCCCAAGGACAAAGTTCAGGTGAGTCAGCTCCACAGGGATTTCGAAAGACATGGAATGCCTGGTGTCGTTCACCAAGACCCACCAGGAGCCCTCAGGGCCCCACGTCGGGAGGGTGGACCTCAGTCTGGCTCTGCTGCTGCCTCCCCTCAGCCTTCTCTCTGGCAGCCCCTCCCACCCGCTCTTAGTGCAGAGCTTACAGAGGGACGGGTGGGGAAGAGAACCCTGGGCTGCCAGGCAGGGCCTCCTGGGTCTGGCCTCTGACCAGCTGGGGGACCATGGACAGGCCACTTCAGGCTTTGGCCGGAGGAAAGGGCACCTTTGCCGGGAAGGTTCCGGCTGTGCCATATTTTTTCAAGTTATTTCTGTGACATTAAAGTTACTATTACTGAGCACTTTTTAAAATCTTAATAAAATCACTGTAAACAAGTTTTTCTCTCATATTCTAATAAAGAGTTTAGTTCCAGCACAGTCATTTTGAACCTTGTTCGTGTAACGTAAGAGCTTCTGCTTGATACCTGTGCCTGTCTCTTTCAGAACAAAAGATAAAATAATTCTGTAGAAATGTGCTAAGAGTAAGGACTCCTTATTTTGTGATTTATCAGAATGTAAAGATAAAGCAGAGTTATACCCTGGTTTTATAGGGTAAACGCTTTCATTTTCTTTCAAGTAAGTTACTGTTTATACTGTACACGTCTGTCTATGGAACTATATACTTATCACACTGGAACTCCAAAGGAAGCTGTCAGGCCAAAAACTATCCTCTGCTGTTCTCCTGTGGCCATTCCAGGAATAGCACACTGTGTCTCTGTCCCTGGTGCTCAAATCCCAGCTAAAGCCCTGTGAACCCGACCAAAAATTCTACCCAGGAAAACAAGGTCAGCTGGCCAGGGCGGCAATCATTCCATCCCTGGAAGGACCGCAGTCACAGTTGTGTGTTCTTCACCTCTTCCCGCTCCAGCCCTGCAAAGGGAGGCCTCAGCTGCTGCACTGACATAATGAATCCCTTCTAAACCTAGAAGCCACTATTATTGTGGCAGCCAGTCCTTACAGAGAGGTGTTGGAGTATGGTGAGACTGCAGCGTCCTCGAGAGAGATTGCCATTATCGAGGCCATCCGTACAGCGGAGGCCTTCGCAGATCAGGCAGCCAGTACGGGGTAGGTGGCCTTTCCTAAAGCAGCCATTACATTGGAGGGCGCCGTCAGTGAGGCAGCCAGTAACCTAGAGTCTGTTACGAGTACAGCAGTGGGTACCATGGAGGCCACCATTATGGAGGCAGCCAGTCCATACAGCGAGGTACTGGAGTAGTGTGAGAAGCAGTGTCCTTGCGAGAGGCCACCATAATCTACTAATAAGGCACGCAAGATGTGACAGGCCTCCTTCACTAAGGTTATTAGTCATAAGTTTACAAGTTTCTAAGATACTGGTTACTAGTTACCAGGGTACATGTTACTGCTTACTAGTTACATGGTTAGCAGGTAACTGATTGCCTGGTTACTGGGAAACTTGTTACCAGGTAACTGATGGCCAGGCTATTATTTGCCATGTTACTAGTTTCCTGGTTGCTAGTTACCTGGTTACTAGTTACCAGGCTATGGTTACTAGTTACCAGTTTACTTTTGTAGCCATGAAAGAAATAACACTGTGTACTTCTGTCTGTGGCACTGAAATTCCAGCTAATTCACTGAGAAACTGAGAACATAACAAAGAATTCTGCCCCAAAACAAGGGGGGCAACAAACAAACAAACAAACAAACCTCAAAATCATCAAGTCAGTCCAGGTGGGAATCATTCCTTCCCTGGATGGACGAGATTTTGCAATCCTTCCTGGCCAGCCCAAAGAGAGGGCTCGGCTGCTGCAATGACATTGTGAACCTGTGCATTCACTGTGCCAGTCAGTACCCTAGAGGCTGCCATTATTTTTTTTCTTTTCTTTTTGAAGTTTTTATTTATTTATTTTTATTAAGATATTATATGTGTGCCCAAACCGGTTTTGCTCAGTGGATAGAGGGTCAGCCTGTGGACTGAATGGTCTCCGGTTCTATTACTGTCAAGGGCACGTACCTGGGTTGTGGGCATATCCCCAGTGTGAGGCTGACCGATGATTCTCTCTCATCGATGTATCTAACTCTCTATCCCTCTCTTTTCCTTTCTGTAATAAATGAAAAATATATTTTTTTAAAAAAAGATATATGTGTACATACCTTACCAATCCCCACCCCCATTCCCAAACATGCCCTCTAGATGCTGCCATGATTGAAGCCTTCAGTAACAGCAAGGCCACCATTAACGAGGCAGCTGGTATTATTTGTGAGTGTTGTTTATGGTAGACACGTGCCTTTTTTTTTTAAGTATCTCAAATTTATTTATTTTTAATATATTTTATTGATTTTGTACAGAAAGGAAGGGAGAGAGATAGAGAGTTAGAAACATCGATGAGAGAGAGTCATCGATCAGCTGCTTCTTGCACACCCCCTACTGGGGATATGCCCGCAACCAAGGTACATGGCCTTGACTGTAATCTAACCCGGGACCCTTCAGTCCCCAAGCCCATGCTCTATCCATGGTTTGTAGTGTGTTTGAAAGAAAGGCATTTTCAGTTTGTGTTTGTTCATTGGTGTGACCCAATGTAGGACACTGATACCATAAAAGTGTGTGTGTGTGTGTGTTTATGTGCAGGTGAAGTTTCTTTGTATATCTTCACTAAGCCAGGGTGTTTTATTCTTGATTAGTGATGTGTAAGTTTTCTGTGTATCAAATGTTCTATGAATCATTTTATCCCAGCTTCCAATGATCTGTTTCTCAATGAGCCTTCCTCTTATCTGTATTTCACCTCATCTTTCATTAATTCATTCATTGTAGTCTTGGTCATGTATGTTGGTTTCTTTTGTTGTTCAGTTGAAGTATCGTCTTTATGTGTTGTTTACTATGATGCATGCAGCAGATACGAGTGACCATAGTGTTAATTGTTTTGGTAAAGGTAGGTAATATTTCAGCCGCCGCCACATAAAATGCCAGGGCCCCCGGTAGGGAGTCGAATCAGTCCGAGGTAGTGAGTTTTTTATTGAGAACAAGGAAGATCGGCAAGCCATGAAAGGTTCCTGTTATTTTCCTTTAAGTTGCCATACACGCAAAGAAGCGTGAGAAAGTTGTGTGGGTAGGGTGTGCCGACCCGTCAGTCCTTTTGAGCGTAAGGAACTTGTGAGGTCATACCAGATTTCCATCAGATCGATTGCCATCCAACGCATCAGGCATCGTTACGCAGCGGGGCAAGTCGATTGTATGTTTTCGAAAGCGTACACAGCGCCTCGCGTCACGCCAGCAGTTTTGAGCGCGATCAGGTCCGTTCAAAGTTACAGTCAACAGCCACTACACACTTCCGGCAAATATACACAGTGTCACTCATCGACCTTTTTCCCTTCACTGGTGTTAGTGAGGGTTGGCTGAGGCGTTTGTTAGTAAAACTTTTTTTCGCCACTTTCAGAAGTCTCGTTTTCATCCCCCGCGCCCGCCGCCATAATGCTCGTGAGAAATGACTTGTGAGAAGTAGGGTGTAGGTTTATATTTGCATCTTTTAGTGTGATTGCCGCTCCTAACCGAGAAGGCAGTTGTTAAGTTATCGGTTGTCCACAGAATAGGGGAAGCAGGTGTACCTGCAAAGTTGCCATGAAGATATTTTAGTTTTAGTGAGGTGTATTGGCCCGTAGTGAGTTGATTTCATGGTTGCATTGAGTAGGCAGTCTAGTTATTTTTAAAGAATCTTAGTTGATAGTTCACCACGTGCATATATATAATCTGTCATCACTGAATGCCATCTGCTCAACTTTCCCCTCTGTTTTCCCCATTTTTCTTTTGCTTTCATTGCAGTCGTTTGTGTGTCATAGTTTTGGATTTTCATTTTTAAGCGGTGTTGTGTATCGTCCTTGTGTTGTTCCTTCTATCCCGCTTAGTAAAAGAAAAGCACAGTATTCCTGTTTATTGTAAGAAGACTGTCCTGGAGACTGTGTGCCTGTCAGGTTTGAAAAAGGTATGCAGTTGTATTTGCATTTCTCTATGGTAATGATTGTAGCAGAGTTTCGTCGCATATAGTTGTCGAGTATTGCCATCCCTGTCCTTGGTCCTCACCTGAAGTGATGAAGTTGTCTCCCCTCCCCTCCTCTCCCCTCCCCTCCCCTCCCCTCCCCTCCCCTCCCCTCCCCTCTGCTCCCCTCCCCTCCTCTCACCTCTGCTCCCCTCCAATCCCCTCCCCTCCCCTCCACTCTGCTCCCCTCCCCTCCCCTCTGCTCCCCTTCCCTCCCCTCCGCTCCCCTCCCCTCCTCGCTCATTTTTGGGTCTGCATCCCCATGGTGTTCTTGTTAATGTGCACCCGTTAGTGCAGTTGAATAACTGTGGGGCATATGGGATGCTCAAAAAGCATGGTCGCCTGTTTAGTGTTGTTTACTCACCATCACCAATATAATTAGTGGTGGCATGGCCTTTGTATTCTTAGTTCTCGTGATCTTTTCTTGTGCACGTCGCCCGTTCCTAGGCGTCGGGAGGATGTGCCGTACACGTCAGTTGTGTCGTAGTCCTCTGGTTTCCCAGTTTCTTTCCTTCCCGCAACTCCCCCCCCAGTTCCCCACCGTGGCGGTCGGCCGGCAGAGTCGCGTTTTGGCGCGATAGCGGATTCTTTCGTGCGGCGTAGGTCACGTGCCACGTTCCCAGTTGTTTGTTGCGGAACATCTGTAGCATTGCGAGGAAAAGACGGACAATGTCAGTGTCACCGTATACTGGCGGTATGAGTCTTCTGTAGCGTGCATCGCCCCGCGTGTAATCTTTGTTTTTGGATGCCGCAAGGATCTTTATGGTTTTGCAGGCACGTCCTACAGGAGCT